TGAAAATTTTGTATATATAATTTTAACTTATTAAAATCAAAACAAATAAAACATCTTGTAAAAAAATTAAGATCACTGTAACCTCTTTGTTGTACAGGACAGGATTTAATAAATGATAAACACGGATTATAACTATGTAATTTAAAAGATCAGAAGTGAAAAATAATCTCAAATTATCAAAATATATAGCAAAGTAAAATAACAATATCTCACATAATTACACCAAATCGTTAAACTTAAATAGGAAACCAAGTCATTGGGTTTTTAAAGACATGCATAACTAAAAAAGGAATGTGAATCTTCTTAGAACTTCAGCTTGTGCTAACCCGTTTCTAAGACTCTAGGCTAATTTTAGTTGATGATGGCTAGGAGCAGGTTAAATGCCCAGCTGTTGAGTCACCTTTATGTCTGACTCAGCTGGTAAGTTATGGTGCTCTACTAGGCTTCAGAATGGCATTCTAGATACTTTGTTATTTCTATATTTGTCTAAATTCAAACCTGAATATGGCACAACTTGGTTTATCTGTATTCCTGTTGATGAAATTTGGGTTGTCTCTAGTTTGGAGTTATGAATAAAAATGCTGTTATAAACATACTTAGAGACACCTTTTCGTGGACATGTTTTCATTCTCTTTGCTATGTAGTAGTAGAAGTATTGGTCATTGGGGAGATCTATGTTTAGCTTTATGATATGTTACTGGACTGTTTTCTTGAAGTGGTACTGTTTTACTCTCCAATCAGCAATACGTGAGAATTTCAATTGCTCTACATCCTCATCGACATTTGGTATTTCATGGGTATGACAAGGTATCTCATTGTGGTTTTAATTTACATTTCCTTAATGATTTTGAACACTTGTTCTTGTTTTTCTTAGCCATTGTTATATCCTTCTTTGTGAAGTGTTTGAAGAGTTTTGTCCATTTTATATTGGTTTATATTACGGGGGCCAGCCCCTTCAGAGAGATTTAGAGGGTCCCTGGAAGGTGGGGCAGCGTCGGCGATTATTCTGTAGAAATAAAGAGAAAGAAAGAGAAAGGGGGAGAAAGAAAGAGACTGGATTCTGTCTAGTGCAGAAGCCAATTCTGTAGTAGGGATAGATATTAAAAGAAAGAAAGATGGAGGGATAGATATAAAGAGGAAGAAAGAGAAAGAAAGTGGACAACTGTTCAGTGAAATGAGCAGAAGCCGTTTATTGGGACCAACCATGAGTCTTTTATCCCAAATTTTCACATGTTAAATCAAAAGACTTTCACATGAACACAAGGCCAGGTGGATGAGGCGCATCCTCCCCACCCACCAGGTGTTTTCTTAAGCATGAGGAAGGACAATCCCAATCAAATCACAAGACTATTACGTGAACACAAAGCCAGGTAGATGAGGGGCGTCCCCCACCCACCAGGCGTTTTCCCAAGCATGAGGAAGGACAATCCTAAAATTATCTCACTGTTCCTTATGCTTGGTTATGTTCCTCAAAAGCAATACAACAATTCTAACATCATAAGATCCTAATAATCAATAAAGTCTAAAACTTATGCATACCCAACAACTAACGACTGACTTAAATCCTAATACCTTTCTATTCTGTGCTAATTTTACCTGTACTATAAAAAACTCTTAATTATAGCTCAAACCAGTTCCTAAAGAATGTGGCCCAGTCCAAAGATCACGCCGGGCCGTTTCCAGGAACAATTGATTATGATCTCTTAACAAAATGGCTATTCTAAAATCCTATGTATCTATCTTAATTTCTATAAAAGTTTCTAATTCCTAATCCTAATTTATAAGGCTGATCATCAGCAATAAAGCTTCTAAAATAAAACCCAAATACAAACTGTAATTATACTAAAACCAAAACCGCAATTAGTAGAAAGTGGTAACAATGACATTTATAAAGATAGCTGTATTCTATAAAACCTCAAAGTATCATGTTTGATCATGCTTGAACTAACATAATTCCCTGGCGTAGCATGACCTATTCTACAGTACTTTCTATGAATAAAATAAATTCAGTTTCTATTATAAGTAGAAAAAATCTACACTAATTGTAACTAAAGAACCGGTTTAAAAGAATGCAGCCCAGCCCAAAGTGGACACTGGGCCCTTAGGAATGTGGCCCAGTCCAAAGTTCATGCTGGGCCATTTCTGGTAACCCTAGATAATCATCTATACAATCTAAAGCTGGAAACAGCTCTCTAAATGCATATACTAATTCTACAAATATACTTTTAAATCTTATAAAGAAGCTTGTATCATATATAAGGCTCCCAAATGTGACCTGAGTTTGAACTGTGTTAAGTTTAAAGCCGAAACTGCAGTCTGTGAGAAACGGGACCAATGAATCCCTAGAGTCAGTCATGCCTGTCATATTCTCAGAACTTCATGCTTAGATCATCAAAGTCCCTGCTGGTGGGTCATGCGAAACAGCAAAGAAGGAAGGAGGGAATGGGCCTTCAGCTCCTGAACGCAACCTGGTGGTCTCAGGGTCTGCAGCTCGCCTGGGTCCCTAACGCTCAGGTGGGCCTCCACGGCCGGCTCCCAACAAACTTGTGCAACTGGACCGTGCATGATGCCAGCTTCTCTACTGCCGGAAGGAACCCTTGCCTGAGAGTCAAGGCTACAGGAAAGGAGGGGGATCTACCAGGTTTATGGAGATATGGAAAGGGATGAAGGGGACCTGCTTCAACATCTAGGAAGGTTCAAGGCCATCAGCCAAGTCAGCTGGTTAGCTGGTTCCTGTGGAAATTTGTACATCTCTAAAGTTAAAACCAAATTAAAACAGAAGTGTGGGGGGGCGAGACCATGCTTATCTTTATTATTTTCCAGATTCAATTCCATGCAGTTTTTACTCCTAAAAGATATTTATAAATGCAACTATAGTCATGTGCTGCATAATAAGAGATTGGTTAATGACAGACAGACCGCATTATGATAGTGATCCCATAAGATTACAGTGAAGATAAAAAATTCCCATTGTTAAGTGCCTAGTGAAGGTGCAGCTGTCGTAAGGTCATAGTACATCACGTGTTTGTGGTGATGCTAATGTAAACAAGCCTACTGCACTGCCAGTCATTTAAAAGTACAGCATGGGTGGGGTGGTGAGTGCCTGTAGTTTCAGATACTTGGAAGGCTGAGGTGGACGGATCAACTGAGCCCAGCAGGTCGAGGCTGCAG